CACAACCTCCAACTCTTAGGCTCAAGTGATTCTCTTGCCTTAGCCTCCCAAGTAGCTGGGACAACAGGCACCTGCCACAACACCCAGCTATTTTTAGAGATAAGGTCTCGCTCTGGCTCAGGCTGGTCTTGAACCTGTGAGCTCAGGCAATCCACCTGCCTCAGCCTTCCAGAGCTAGGATTACAGGCGTGAGTCACTTTGCCTGGCTCCACTTTCTTCCTTTCTTCTTATGTGACTATTAAAACCTTTGACAGTAGCCAGGTACCGAGGCTCAAAGCTGTAATTCCAGCACTTTGGAGGCTTAGGTGGAAAGATTGCTTGAGACCAGGAGTTCAAGACCAGCCTCAGTAACATGGTGAGACCATGCCTCTACAAAAAGTAGAAAAATTAGTATGGTGTGGTGGTGTGCACTTGTAGTCTCAGCTACTCATGAGACTGAGGCAGGAGGAACACTTGAATCTGGGAGTTTGAGGATGCTGTGAGTTATAATGATGCCACTGTACTAGAGTAGTAGAGCCAGGGCAACACAGTAAGACCCTATCTTAAGGAAAAAACAAAACCAAAAAGCAAACAAACAAACAAAAACCTTTGGCTATTAGCCGGGCTTGGTGGCCCATGCCTGTAATCCTAGCACTCTGGGAGGCTGAGGTAGGTGGAGATAGCTTGAGCTCATGAGTTCAAGACCAGCTTGAGCAAAAACAAGACCCCATCTATACTAAAAATAGAAAAACTGAGGCAAGAGGATCACTTGAGCCCAAGAGCTGGAGGTTACTGTGAGCTATATGTCATAGCACTCTACCCAAGGTGACAGCTTGAGACTCTGTCTCAAAAAACAAAACAAAAACAAAAACACCTTTGGCTATTAAAACTTTGGTATGAAAGGTATATGTTAGATTACGTGCAACATAGTTTAAGACCAATTACGATCCCTCCAATTACATACAGGTAGCCCAGGCTGGGGAACTAGCTACTTACTGCAAACTGCTCCCTTTGGGCTTTTCTTCGAAGCTGGCCTTTCATTGGGGGAGCAGGGCGGCCATCTACAAATAGAAGTTACAAAAGTGGCAAGTGTTAAAAGAGGGTTTGCACTGTCTTGTCTAAATATTGTTATAGAAATAAGGGGAGAACCAATCTCTACCTCCTCTCTTCCACTTTACACCCATTATAGCTTAATTATCCTCAAATATGTCCTCATCTTTAAGAATGAGGTTATGACAAACCCATCAAGAATAAGCTTTTAGGCTTGGTACCTGGAACTTAAGTGGCTAAGGCACCAGCCACATACACCTGAGCTGGAGGGTTCGAATCTAGCCTGGGCGTGCCAAACAACAATGATGCCTGCAACCAAAAACTAGCTGGGCACTGTGGTAGGTGCTTGTAGTCCCAGCTACTTGGGAGGC